GCCTGCTCCTCTCCAGCATCATGATGACCAACTATCGGATTCTGCAGCACGCAGCACCAGCATGGGTACATGGGTTCCGCCTGCAAGTACAATGGTACTTCCGGTCATGCATTTTCAGAATAATGTTTTTGCATAAATCAACGACCGACAGAAATGCAGATAAACACACTGTGCAATGTCTTCTATAGGTGGATTTTAATTAAAAAAGGGAGTTCCTCATTAAATCACACTAAGTTTGAGAATGACAGAGAAGATTTAGCACACATTATGAATGCTAAAAACACAACCCTTTAAAGTAACGTACCGTATACGGTATTTTAATTGTTGCCGTCCCTGGTAGGCTAGTGGTTAAGGCGCAGCGCTTTCGCCGCTGCGTTTCCGGGTTCGAATCAGGGTTGCGTCAGGAAGGGCATCCGGCGTAAAACGTCAATATGCGAGTCGTCAGTATGAAGATTCGCTGTGGTGACCCCTAAAACGTGAAAAGCCGAAAGTGACTTTCATACTGCATTTTAATTGTTAAGATTATCTGTTATATTGGAACGGTTTTGGTCCATAGACCCATTTATTTTAATAGGACTTTCTATCAAGGTTTGGTCTCAGCACTGGTAGACACACACTGACTGACACTATCGCCTCTCTAGGAGCAAATATGATGTTTGCAAGTAACGTGAGCTTTATATCCCCCCGTTTGTCAGGCAGGCACATCGGAATGATCTACAGTAACATGACTTCACTCCAAAGACAATGCGCACGGGTTTGCTCAAATATTGGTAGGAACCTTTCTGCCCTGCCATGCAAAACTACGCCCTTGCTTCTGATACTGGCTTTACTACATACTGGGCCTGGGCCTATAGTGTTACTGTTAAATTGTAATGCTGTATTTCTAAAGTAAGAAGAGCTTGCAGCTTTTTTTAAATCATTGCCTTTATTTTGAAGGTTTGGGTTTCACCCTTTGTTGGCATGAATGTGATGGGCGGAACTCTTCTATCGCTACCGTCGTTTTGAGGGACACACGATCAGCTAGACACCTGCCTGTGTTCCACTCAAAGCGTTCCGGGTACCGGAACTGGACATATTCATATATTGTGCTGGTGGATGATTAAATATGCAGTGGTGTGTTTTTAAAGTCACAATTTCAAGAGCGTCTGTCTAAGGTAACGTTTTTTGTGTTTATTCTGTGTTTAGTGCAGGTGGTGGTGGCTGTTGACATTAACACCTAAGGTTTTCTGTCACCTCAGATTTTTTAGTGTTCCTCATTTTACGTTTGTTAACTCAGTTTTATCGCATTCGGTTTCTAAATCAGCTTCCATCAAATCATAAGCAACATAGCTGCCATTTGATTCAGTAGAGCAAACAGGTCTGAGTGTCGTGACTCGTTAATGCTAATCAAATACTGGTATATTTTTTGTCTTCCTGCTTAGTTACTATTAAAGTTAAAAACGTAGTTATTGACAGAGTAATGAGAACCCTTCAAATATATTACACAGACATCTGTGCTTTAAGTAAATAATATTGTGATGACCGGAGGTCGCTACAATATGTAACGTTATAACAGAAAGAATATCTCTGCTCATTCATAAATGGAGTTAGTGGCCTAACGCTAAGTAAGTGGCGCTTCCTCTCCTCTCCTGCTGACCTGCACATGCAGAAGCAGATGTGATCCTTCTGAGGCTGTGGACTGACTGACCCTGTCCTGGTTGAACTGCAGGCTTAGTGAGTGACAGCAGAGCAAGATGTCAGACAGTGGGAACCAGTCATGTCTGATGGGAGCAGAGGACACATTCTCCCTCCTGGTATGAGCTCTGTCCACTTACTACTGACCTTTCAACTTGATAACTGTTCAATCTTTCTGTAAATATAGTTTGCTGTGTTGTTTCATTGCTTAAAGCTACAGTAAGTAATATTCAAATATTTTAGTAGAGACATCTGTCAAAACCTATCTTAATGGGGAGAGTTTCTGTTAAATGTTCCTGTGACCCCCCCAACCACTGATTGTATATCCAATAATATCATATACATTAATGTGAAATATGCTATTCTGTGTAATGAGAACTTTTACTTTGGGCACTTTCAGTATACTTTGAAGCTATTACTTTTGTACTTTTACTTAAGTAATATTTTGAATACAGGACTTTTACTTGTAACAGAATATTTTTACACTGTGGTATTGGTCGGTCCACTGGGAGCTGCCTCTCTTTTGCAGAGGCGCCTGTTCACATTCACGGAGTTACACATTCACACCTGGAAGCTGCCCAATACAACCACAGATTGCCCAAGACCCACTGATGTTGACGTTCACTTACTGTAGATTAAACTTTTAAATTTCATTCATCCTTTTCAAAAGATTAAAATTAGTTTGAATCTGCATTAAAATGGTTGAAAATTTGAAATACTGTGCATTGGTCTCTATGGAGAGACACTTTCAGCAGCTATCACACCGGGAGTGAGGAGGATGAATGTGTCTAAAAATGATCTCTAACTTGTCCTCACCGCCACTGTTTTCACTCCTTTTACATAAGTTTACATGGGTGACATTCAACTACTGCATTGACTCCTGTGTACACAGTATCAGGCAGGTGGTTATATCTTGTGGTTGATTGGTGGATTTGCCACTCTGAACGAAAAGTGTCATCTGGCTGGTGGTTCTCCATGAGAAATCAGGAGATCATGAAAGTTGCTAAGATGAAAGTCTGTACAAAACTTCGTGGCAGCAGTTGTTGAGATGTATTGACCTGTACATCTTGGTTCTCAGGTGTGCGTGTTTCATGCCTGCGAGGAATGGGCAGGCCTTGGGCAGATGGAGGACTACCTGAGTGTTTTGGAGTACCTGCTGTGGGTCTTCACCCCTCTGGCCATTGTCTTCATTTTGCCATTTCTCATCGTCATCCTCCTTTATTTGTCTATACTCTTTCTTCATGTCTATAAGGTATGTAGACACACTTTGCTCCATCTGCACTGAGTGAACAGGGAATCATAGTTCATGTCATTTACTAAAGTTTACAAGCGCTCACAGATGATTCAAAATGTCATCCCTTATAGAGCATTCTACAGCTACATTCATACATTCAGACAGAATGTACTATAATGGCACAGAAGTCCAACAAAGGGTCTGTTAATTGAGCAGGCCTTTAACTGATCCCAGAAGCCATAAAATATATCCTCAAGGAATGTATATTGGCAGGCTCAGTGTGAATTAGAGCATGGAGCTGAGCAACCAGTCGCAGGATTTTGTCATTATGTAGCAGCCAGTCAGACAAATGGACTAGCACAAATCAAGCTGCCTTCACTGGGTATTATCCAGAGTCCCAGAACAGGTCTGCCAGCTGGTGGAGCCAAAAATCAAACTAAACATGCTTGTTTGAGTTGGCTACTGCAGGATTACAATAAACAATGTCTTTGATCAAACAATCAAGCATTTTTTCCTCTCTGTCACCGTGAAGCTGTCTGGGCCAAACAATCAAGCATTTTTTCCTCTCTGTTTGTCACCGTGAAGCTGTCTGGGCAGAGAAGTTACACAGTAGCAAAGAAGAAGTAAACAGCAGGAAAATATAGCTATGACAGTTATACTGTATATGTTGGTCTCGTCTGAATATAAGGACCTGTTGTGGAGATACTTTTTGCCAAAATTCATAAGGTTGGATCTGTAACAAGTTAATAGTGCAGAATAACTAGAAATACTGCCCTGCGGTTGTACTGTAGGCCTTTGACAACCAGGCAAGTTGCAATTACATGCATGTCTGTTCAGATTCACATAATATATGTAGTGAAGACGTTGAAGGAATTTAATAAAAGACATTAAGTGAATTTAATTAGAAGAAATAAAATGAAGGCATTAGCGAGTTATGTCAAGACATGAGGTACCAGAGACCTTTGACCACCAAAATCTAGTCAGTTCATCCTTAAGTCCAAATGGACATTTGTGCCAAATGTCTAGGCATTCCTCAGATATTGCATTGAATGGGACAGATGGACGTACAGACGGACAGAAAAACATAATGCCACTGGCCACAGCTGTTGCTGACGCAGAGGCATAAAAGCTGAGATGAGGATATGTATATTTTTTTCATTACTGTCATATCTGGATGATTCAGAGGGTAATGTATATAAGACAGTAATGATCTCCTGTTAACCTGACCAGAGATCTGTTATTTGACAGTCATGAAATGAACCAATTGACAGAAGACTCAGGCTGTTAGAAACCCATTTCTGTTGTCCTGCCATGATCTTTGTGGATGTTTTCTTCTGACAGAGGAAGAATCAGCTGAGGGAAGCTTACTCTAACAACCTGTGGGATGGAGCCAGGAAGACCCTGGCTACCCTGTGGGATGGACATGGAGCCATATGGCATGGTAAGGCATTGTGGCCTACATTTGTTAAAATACTGTGGCATGCCTTTTAGATGCTGTCTAATTGGCTGGCATTAATACATCTGCTATCACAATCAAACAAAGGCAAAGGAAGAAGGAAACTGCCCTTATTCCACTCAGTGCCGTGAGCTTGTTGCAAGGTATACATGGAAAAAATGCTACACTGCTTTGCAGGATGGCCATAAACTGCATGTTTGTTTTGTGTCTTTGCCTTCTACCCCTTGCAGCAGAACTGTGCTGTTTGTGTTTGTCAGTGTGGTATTTTATTTATTGACTTACAGATTGGTGCCACTAACCTATATACCCAAAGAAACCCCCAGTGTATATCCACACTTGCCTCCTCCCTGAGCACATGCTCCTCATATGTTTTCTTCTTGCTAGTTTTTATAAGAATACCTTAGTCAGTAAGTGCTTGCAGTGTGTGTGTTGTTCTGTAATCAATTGTCATGTAACATTCACCCAGTAATAATCATGAAAAGTGACTTTTTTTGTTGTTGATGTATTTGAGTGGAAGCTCTACCATCTGTGTTAACAGGTGGTACACAGTAGCAGGGTGGACCCCTGATATCTGTTTAACTTAACTTTGGATTTCCTATTTCTGACCAGAATGAGCACCAACAAGGTGTTTGCCATGACAGTGACCTATGATTTAACTGTTTGGACAACTTAGACAAGTTCAGCACAAACATGTATAGCCTTAAATTTACAGACACTACCTACTGGTGTTGTTTATTTGCTGTCACACTGTCACAGCCTTTCCCATTGTAACAAGTCAAAACATCTGCTGTGAAAAAGGCTTGTAAGAGGGAAGTGCTGTATATTGTTATTTACCACAAACATTTAATATGAAATAAGCTTAAAAGAGTATATTATAGCAGTAATACTTACATACATTTTAACTAGGGAAAG